AATCAGCGGTTCTGACAGTTTTTTGAATTAGGCTTTCTTAAACAGAAGAAGAGCCACTACGTGCCCTAAATGCTAAATAATATTAACGCTAAGTGCTATTATAAATAAATGCAAAAGTCACAGTAACTTGATATTCTGAGAATTAATCATTCAAGACAAAGTTCAAGGGTTATTCTTGGCTATTAGAAGAACTTCCACATGCATTCGGGGTCCCAGGCTGTTCCTATCTTATGGCTCTGCCCTTCTTAAAGATTTCCGTTTAGCTAGTCCATGGTTCAGCAAACTCTCTCTGCAAAAGGTCAAATAACAAATATTTTTGGCTTTGTAGGTCACACAGTCTCTGTCATAACTACTCAACTCTGCCATTATAGCACAAAAGCAGCCATAAACAAATGGTTCCAATAAAACCTTATTTACAAAAACAGGCAGCAAGCCAGAATGGGCCACCAGCCTAGCTTGCCAACCTCTGGTCTAGGGTATGGAAGAAGACAGGCAACAGGGAGGACTGTATAGGAGGTTTTCGTGGACTAGACCTGCAACTGGCATACAGCCATCCCTCGGTATCTGTGGGGCACAGGTCCTGGGACCCCAGGAGATTACTAAAATCTCCATGCTCAAGTCCCTTATGTAAAATGGCGTTGTATTTGCATATAATCTAGATACATCTTTCCCATATACTTTAAATCATCTCTCAAATACTTATAACACCCAATACAATGTAAATGCTATGTAAGTAGCTGCCAGCATGCAACAAATTTCAGTTTTACTGTCTGGAATTTTTGCCCCCCGAAATACTTTCAAATCGAGATTGACTGACTCCACATATGTGGAACCCAGGGATATGGTGGGCTGACCCTCCATCTCTTCCACTAAGTCTTTGATAAGCCAGAACGTGGTCACATGTCTCTACCTAAGTGAATGGTCTAGCTGTGTCTCTGTTAAAAAAAAAAAAAAAAAAGAAATCTGGTTCAGTGAACATACCCACCTATTTCCACTCCACAGTGGGAAACTTGCCCAGCATTAGGGAAGAACTGGTTGTGAACACATTATTGAAAAATGGCATAACAAACATTCAGAAATACTTGTTTTTAGAAAGGTAAATACTGCTGATGCAAAAAAGCATTATTTTATAATCTGTGTGGTTAACCGCACAACAAATTCATTGATACCGATGCTGCTAAGTTACCCGTCAATTATAATCAAAAAGCAAGAGGAGGAGCAATTCTAGAACACAACTCAATACCACTAATAAACTGATAAAACATTTTCCTGAAAATTACAAGTGTTCCAACTACACTTTCATGTACACGTGTAGTAGGGGTTTTACAGCGTGCCAAGTGTTAGTATCCAGACTTCTCAGAACAGGCAGCCAGGGCAATACTGTATACTCACCACACTCAATTCAGTTTTCTCTGGGTCCACAGCTAAACCCTGTTTCTTAACTGGCTGCACTGAGCTTGGGACATGACTGAGCGCTGGCCAGTGGGACACATGGGGAAGTCACGGGTACCCCTGCCAGGCCTGGCATATGAAGACGTCCCACGTGTGATCCTCCACTCTCCCTGCCACGTGACCTTGGAGGACGTGTAGTAAAAGGCAGCATCACAAGAAGGAAGGTGCCTGGTTCCTGAGTGATTGTGTGGAGCTGAACGAGTACATGGAAAGAAGCACCCACTTCTCCCATCCCCATCTCAGGAAACGAAACTGTGACAACAAAGAGCAATAAACTTTATTGGGACAAGGCCACAAGATCAGAGGTTGTTTATTGCAGCTGATAACCTATCCTAACTACTACAGAGTTCTTAACAAACTCCAGAAATGTGCTAGTTAGGGTATGAATATTAAATTTTAGTAGTCCCTTAAAACTCACTTAGATTTCTAATCATGCTTAGTTGTATCTAAAAACGCACACATCTGCCTTTGCAGGTCTGTTTTTGGTGTATCAGAAAGACTTCACAGCCCACACTGGGCTGGAAGCAGGAGACCAAGGGACTGAGGGAATGAAAGCTGCATTTTAGGAAGCCCATCTGCTATACTCTGCTCAATTATTCAAAAAATGATTTTCTAACATCTGCCACCTACCAAAGCATCATGCTGGAGATTAAGGGTTGAAAGATGAATGAAGTGCAGACCCGGCCCTCAAGATGTCCATGGTGGAGAGAGGGGGAAAAAAGCGGCTGGTCACATTAGTGAACAATATGATGTCCATAGACATAAGACTTAGGTAGGAAACACTGCGGCACAAGAAGCAACTACCTCTTCATACAAGGGTAAGAAAGGTTTCAAAGAAGTGGGGGCATGGAAGAGGAAAGAGACCAAGAATTAGAAACTATACGAAAAACTGTTTCAGAGAGCCCTGCTCTTTATTGAAATAACCCAACAAAAAGCCTAGCTCATTTCCTCTCTCCGTTTTAAGCCAGTCTGTGGGATCTATTCCAAGAACAGAAGCAAGATGCAATATTTTTTGTGATTACTAGGTGATTTCTTCAGGTGGACCTTACTCACAAAGAAATAAAAACCCTAATTTTTAATTAAGTGTTCCTTAGTACCTAAAATTGCTTGGTATAAGGAAAGTCTCCAGTTTTCCAATAATGATACACATTATTCACCCAGAGGGTAGCAACATGGTTCCCGTGTACCTGTGATCCCGGGGGAGCCAGTTCATTCTAACAATATCCAGGTCTACAGCTACGTATTTTGCTCTTGACTTTGTTCAGCAAACATCACAAACATCAGTCACAAGAGTCCAAGAGATTCTGTAAATAGATCCATTTAGCACTATGGGAAAAAAAATAATCAACAGCATGTGTCCTAGTGATGTGAGTCTATAGCTTCAAAAGTGCGTTTGGTTTAGATGCTAACGTGAGAAATCTCAAATGTCCCATATAACTGAGGACTGATATACACAAACACACTGCAAGGCCAAACTACCTTGACTGTATCTTCCCTGATTCCACTCCAGATAAAGCTGCTTTCCAAACAATGTGAACTGCACTCTTTTCCTAGTTCTACTTACAGTCAATCCTTCTTTTCTGTACTATTAATTAGAGCTACCCCTTGGCTGTAAATGTTTTACATTTGCCACAAAGATGGTTTGTGACACAAAAAGGAGGAGCAACTTCACAGAAATCCATGAACGTTTTTGTCCTCATAGCTGGCATCACATGAATATGAAGAAGAGAAAATCTTAAAAAAATCTATCGCTTTTTACATACTTACAATCATTTTACACAGGTATCATGAAACAGCTCTGATTTTGATGGAAACAACATTGATATTGAGGTAGTCCAAAACAAAGCCTAAATTTGGCAAAAGGCCACACTCACTTCTAAAACACTGATTTTTAGGTTCATGTAAACTGTCCAAGTATAAGGCAATTAAAAATCTGAGGATACTATTTTCCATATGCTGCCGAAATTTAAAAATACAATTTTTCTCCCATTTCCCATTTTCTTGCTTTTCTTTGACTCTTAAATTATGTAAACTACCCAATCTCTAAATTATCTCCAATAGCTGTTTTCGATAATCTTCTTCAAAAAAGTTGTTATGGGCGGGGGGGAGCAAATACATTTCTATTTACCTCTGTAGTGTAAGACTCAACGCAATATGTGAAGCATATTATGTAAAATGCCAAAATGAAATATTTGAGACCAGCGTATTGAAACCATGGACTCTTCAATAAAATATTAATATCATATAATAAAAACATATTTCTTTGGAGTACAGTCTCTAAAGAAAACCAAACAGTATTTTCGAAAGCCACAGTAAATGCCCATTTATAGATAAAAGAAAACAAAAGAGACACACACTTTCCCTGGAAAACTTTAAATGCATGTTTTAACAAATATGAGATGAGAAGGCAGGCGGGGGAGATCAAAGCCTAAAAAGCTGATTGTCAGTTCTGTGTTCTGTTTACGGAGGGACAAAACAAAGCACTGTTTCTGAATTCAACATGACATATAAAACGCAAGCGCGAGCATCATTATGGGTTCCCTATATGGGGCCTGGCTTTGTACTGTGTACTTAATCATTTATCATCCCCTAATCCTATCAAGCAGGTATTATTTTCTTTTTTCCAAAGATGGAGATGCTGACATTGAGAGAGGTCACAGAGCTACTGAGCCAGGTTTCCCATTTGGGTCTGAACGCCATACGTTTCCACCTAGGGAAAGAATGTTCATGTTACGTGGCAAGCAGTCTACCACACTCTTCCGTGCTAACTGCGTAAGATCCCAATAAACTCATCTTACACTTTGCTTGAGGTTTCCTTATTGAGCTCTTCCACTATTCACTTCTGCAAAATTCATAATTTTATTTAAATGCATACATTTAAGGCATTAGAACAGTACCATCGTATACCTGAGAACTCAGATGTTTAAAATCTACAGTTTATGGTGATAGATTATTTCTGTGACTGTAAGTCATCATTACAGATACTCTTTCACGTGTTTACAGGACCCATAAGGTTCACTGACTTCTAATAAACATCCACAAATAAAAACTACTTCAAATTGTCATTTAATAAGGATAGTTAACACCTATAAGGAAAACTATTAATACTTAACTTAAGCCAGTATTTCTTAAAGAATAGCCCATAGGCTGCTATTGATTCATAACTAAACTCTGAAAAATAATATCTAGAAACACAACATATCACCTTAATTTCTGGCTTGAATTAACACCCACCGTTCATTCACTCTCATCATGTCTCATCAAAAGCCACGCTGTTCTCTCTGAAAGTTTCGGTGAATTTGTGGCGAACATAAGTAGAAATAAACTACGTAGGGATTAAGAATCTTGTATCCTTCTGAGATAAAAAGTTCAATTCCAAAGATGTATGCAACGTTGCCTGGCTCCAAAATTAATTATAAAAATAAGATAAGAGTTTTTTTTCAAGTAAAGTAAAAGGAATTTAAAATATGCAAGTATTTAAAAGGGACATCTGATACTTTCAAGTATAATTTTTCAAAATAGTATAACTTCCCCCATGTTAAGCTTACCTCGAAGATGGCATTACATTTGAAGCCCTGAATTTTGTTGTAAACGGATTGGTTGACTCGTAATCAAAATAGTCCTGGCGATTTTCACTAAATGCATTAGGTGATTTCAAGTCACAAGGGTTATCAGATCCCCCATTGTTAAGTTTATCAGATCTTCTGCTATCTTTTTTTCCAGTCACTCTTTCAAACAGGCTAACTTTCTCCCTTTTCTCTCTTTTATTTTCTTTTCTTACTTCAATTGATTTTGAAAATAAATTCATGCTGCTGTCCCATGATTCACTGCTTTCTTCAAATGGATTTTTCTTCCTTGGCAGTGTTGCAAATTTTTGTGGTAATGAAGCAGTCACATTTGTAAATGGGTCATTTTGTCTTCCGAAAGACGATTCACCTTCATCCACACTGCTGTCGGGCTGGTTCATTTTAGAAGTATCAAAGCTTAATGTTCTTCTGTGAGGAGATTTGAGACTTCCTGCAAACAATTTTGTAGTCAGTACATAATCAGTGACACATTACATCACACTATTTGACACATTCTGGGTGCATACTGCTGCTTTTAGAATGAAAGCAATTAGCTATTTAAAGATATTAACCTTTAAAATAATCAAGGAAAACAACCTAAAAATGCTAAGGTACAGCAGCATGTAGGCTAATAACAATTAGTATATTGCTAGACAATTAGTAATTAGTAGCTCAGAAAGAAACAATAACATAAACAAATTATAATGTCAAAACTAAAGGTTCGGGTTGGCATCATAGTGCTATAAATTCTCACTTTTTTCCATCATTAGCATTAAATTTACTTTCTTACTTCTGAACATTAAATGTTTTTTTTCTAGGAGTTTTCTGATGAAATGGAATATTCATTTGTGTGTCAGGCTTTTGAGACAGGAGAAATGGCAGTTAAAAAAAAGCCAGGCCATGAAAAAGGACCAGGGCTCATTTTTATTATCTAATACTACAAATACAGCACTGAATGAAGACAAGCTCTGCCTTTAATAATCTTGCCAATTTTGAGTATAGTAGGTACTCAATAAATACTTGGTGACAAAACCTAGAAACTACTACCAAGAAACAGCAATTTTTATTCTCTAACTGCAGAAGTTAAACTTTAAAAATTAAGAGGGTAGTTCAGACCACGTAAGGGCAACTAGAAAGAACATGTCACTTACCACTTTCCGGAACTGCTCCAAAGGAATCTACCTGGCGTCCGAGAAGATGGGTTTGAGTGATGGTGCCCGACTTCAGCTTCTCAGAAGAGATGTGGGCCCCAGTTAAGTCAGACATAGAATGTGCTGAAGAGAGTCGCTGAGGACCCAAAAGGAAAGGCTTTTTTGGTTTAGCTTTCATCTGCATTTCACTACTTGAAAATTCAGCATTGGCATCAGGCATGTGAGAACTTGGAATGATTGCAGAAGATGTATCAGAAAATGTTCCATCATTTTTTCTACCTTTCATCTTATCTTTTAATTTTGCAAAAGGAGATCTTGTTTTGTCCTTCATTGATAAGTCAAACATACTTGCTGTCATATTGTTCCTCATAAATTGAATATTGACCTTTATCTCACCCCTGCTTTTGGCTCTTTTTCCTTGTTTGGATTCTAATCTAAACCACCTTAAAGAGAAGGAAAAACTGGGTTGTAACATGTAATGAAGAGAGGATTACTGAGCTCTGTTGTATACAAATAGCTTTTTAGGTAAAGTTACTCTACATCAAGACAATCTGAGCACTGGAAGAGAAACTGTCAACCAGGGTGCTTCTGGTTTTACTCATCGCTTCATTTAAAAACCCGGTTAAGTCTCTGCCATGTGGCATATACAGAAGCAATCAGTCTTTTCTGTAAAGGTATTTAGACCACTTTTTCTTTCATGATTTGAAAATCACTCATCGTCAAGAATTCTTACCAATAATGGCTATTATGTTTCCACCTGGGGTAAGTGCTACTAACGGTTGAAGAATGTTTTCTTTTTTATCATTAAAAGACATTGAGGTAGAGATCCTAAAATAATTTATCAATACAAACTATTTTTGAGCACTATAAAATAATTTAAAAATAACATTTTAATAAAATAATAAATATTTACCTTCTATCTTAAAATATTTCTTTCATAAAAGCTATTAAAAGAATTTTGTTAATATGGGAGACTACTACAGTTTGCTAATCATGAAATTAAACTACATATGATGTAATTTAGATTCATATAAAAAAAGTCAAAGCCTTTTCCTGAATAAAATATGCAAAATAAGTAAAATGCCAAAAGTGACAAACAGTAATAAATCTTGTAAAGAGTTTTGAAGCAAACAGAAAGCTTAAACGCTTCCTCCTAGAATCTGTGTGTTTCATTAACTACTGATACTGACAATACCAAATAAAACTTAACTGCAGCCAAATCTTACGCTTTTAGTCACTTCATGAATTACACTGCCCATTTTTAAACAATGTCTAAGAAGTAAAGTTTATTTTGGTTTTGTTTATAGTACTTTTATCCATGAGAACTTCTCCAGTTGTTGGTGTCACAAGTTGTCTGTCTACAGGGCAAACAGCCAAAAATCTGCAAACTCCAGCCTACAGGAGAATTTCTACCATGTTTTCACATTACTTGACAATGAAGCATAGTATCTCTTCCTGCAGACAGGCTGTTATTTAAATACAGCTCTATAGGTGTTACATTTTCTTAGTTACACAGGGTACTCTGATCTCATTTTACAGGATCTAGCAGAAGCGGCTACATTTACTATACATCAGGTGGAAGACTGGTTCACAGGTCCTTCCAGGCAGAAGAAAACTGGCACATAATATCTACACCAGCTACATCTTAGCAAGTATCGGGCAAGAGAAATATTTTGATTAATTTGGAGCAACTCAATCAAGTAATCAAAACAATCAAATCAATCAAAACAAGCAACTTTAAAAAAATATTTTATAATAGAAAGCATTAACCTGAGACCCTAAATGGAGAAAATCCCTTATCTGAGGCAAATGGTGAAATCTGAAGACTCGGGGACTAAGAAGTAAGAAGGGACAACAACACACTCTGTGGAACAGAGAACCCTGAACAACCACAAAACTGAGCGCTCGAAAAGCCTGGACATGAAGCAAGGTTATATATCCACTTATTAATTCACAGTTTTGGAAAACAGAGCATTTTCAGTTGGGAGGTGGGGCGGGGAATCCTTCTGACAGTTGACATGTGAGAAGTGCTCTGTTAACATCTCAAGTTACACAGAAAATAGGTGAGTCCACTTTGGGAAAAAAAGCACCTCTCAAAATTCCCAAACAAAACAGAATCAAACAAAAAAACTCAAGCATGTAGGATTCCCACATGTATAACAAATTGAAGCAAATCTGAGAAAAAAAATCAATAACTGAAAAAATAGAAGGGAGTGAGGATAATCAAAACGCACAGAATTTTAGAAATATAATCAAATACATCATCTAGCCTAACATCCTTATTTCACAGATGAGGAAACTGAGGCACAGAGAATAAGTAACTTCTCAGTGTCAGACTGAAATCAACAAGGAAAATGGCCAAAGTTGATGAATAACAGCTGCATGGAAACAGTAGTTCTTTTGAATTGAATGAACCACATATGTTAATAAGGTTAAACACATACCTGGTTGTCTATTACACAACATTGTATTTAACCAGGAGGCATGAGAGCCAAAGAGGAAGGCAATACAGGTTTTCTCCTAGCGGAGTGTAAGCTCCTTGAAGGCAGTTTGCCTTGGACTAAATAAATGTTGAGTGAATTTTCATTTCTAGAACTATATTATTAAAACTACCAAGCTAATACTGCATGTGTGTGCACTGCACTGTTTGGTTCTTTGCTATGGAAAGCTAAAGATTAGGTAAGCTCTAAAGGATAAAGCAAGCCTGTGTTTGAATACAAACTGTAAATATAGTATTTTCCATCCTCCCCGCCAAGGTGAGGGAAAAATTGCAAAGAACTTTAACAAATACACTAATTCAAAATACAGGCATGACAAATAACTCTAGCTGCTTTGTTCTGAAAGTGATATAATGGGGAAGTCTTAATGAGACCTTCAAGACTCATTCCAGAGATAGCACTTGTTTTCCCAGGCTTCAAAAAGATAAAATGAAGACATAGCATTTGAGGCTTAGTGGATTAATGCTGATTTTTTTTTTCACCTCTGGAGTGCTGGATTTAAACTGTATATGGCCTCTGTTCAATTTTTCGTGGGCACAGGCCCATGTTCAAAAACCACCACACATGTGGGAACTATTCCCAAGCAATTGGTGCTGTGTGGTCAGAAATAGGACAAGATTGGCAGTAAGGGTGCCAGAGGCCAGGACGCAGGTGCACGGCCGAGGCGCACACCACAGTCCTAAAATCTGCATGTGTTTGAGTCGTACCTAACTCTAGGGACTCTGATTGTTACTACTTTTCATGAGCATTTTAAAAAAAAATCAACATCACCCACTTCAACTGTTGAAAAAAAAAAATCAATCGGTATTACATAACAGCATAAAAGATTTTACCATTCTATTATTAAATACTATATAAATTTCCTTAAATCTTGTGCCAGGACCAACCCAGACACCCATTAAAGTGGGAGATACAGAAGTTCTCTTTCCATGCCCTACTCAAAGTGTTCTGGCTAAGGCCCTTTTCCCCTCGCCCTAAAAGAAAAAAAAAGGGGGGGTGGATTTTTAATTTTTTAAGGTACAGAAGTAGGTAATACCATAGTTTTAGCCATCACACTTCTCTGCCTCTCACCACACAACTGGAAGACAAGCTGTAAATACCTGTCTTCAGTGTCAATAGTAAAAAGCGTCACACCCAGCAGTTTCATGGGACTTCTAAATCAGCTGGTAGCCTTCATCACTCATACTGGTTTTCCAAAAAGCACTTGGGAATATGCTGACAAGGTTCAGCAATGTGTAGAATATTAAATATCTTTTTTGCAATACACCGGTGGCTCAAGTCTGTCTCTTACTGTGCCATATGTATAGCTGTGCTGGAAAAGGAAGCTATTAAATATATTAAAAAACTAGAAATATTACCAATAAAGGTATCTCACCAAATATATGGTCCCCATTTATCCACAAAGAGAGAAAACGTTAGGGATTTAATAACATGTGAAAATCACTCTGAATGCAATAACATCACAAGTCCTGTTGGTAACACTGAAAGGCACTCCCTCTATCCCAAAAAGTTCTAGGATCAATTTTACATAGTAGCCAACAGAGAGTTTCTGTAGGGAAACTATGATGTTAGAGTATTGTTTACAGTCATACTTATCGTTATTGTGATGCTGCCAAAAATAGAGAGCAAAATGAGGAGAAATTTTAAAAGCTTATTTCATCCTCAGAATCTCTGGGTTCACAGTTGGGCCTACTTTCACTT